CTGTTTCTTACAGGTAAGATAAGAAAGGCAGGTTTTCGCATCAAGTCTAAACTGCCTCCATAGCTAAAATCAGTTTATTGTAATGAAAATCTAAACTATATAATAGTTGCCAAGAAGCAAGGCTTTTAACTTTTAATCTGCTTCTCCTTCATAGAAGGAACCAAAATATTAACAAGGATCTTGAATTTTAATAACCCCTTACAGTAAACACCTTCAGGAACAGCAAAGAAACAACTGGTCAAATTCACGACTAACATGCTTTGCTTTGGTTTACTTCTTCAGATGCTACTGAAATAGCATTTACTGCTACAGGTGTACAGGAGATGTTTCCCTCCTGAACTCCTTGGTGAGGCACCATATGCAGTGAGTCATTTAAAACCGTGCTCTAGATGAGGAGGAAATCAGAGAACTCAGGTTTGGTTAATCTTGCATTAAAAGAAATACAGATAAAAGTTAGCACAGTGCAGATCACTAGCTTCTGCTGCCCAGTTAGTCTATTTCAAGGGAGTTGCTAGTGCAGCAGCCTTTACACTGCCTGCAATATCCATATCTCAGGAAAGAGCAGCAAACTGGCAATACCACTCATCATGCACTATTTATGCAGCAAATTCCTGTTTTCTTCATGAAAGCTGCTTCTGATCAAATAAATGCCAACAAGACATCACATGTTCTGCTTGAGTTGTGTAACTGTGTGCAGCAGCAGTAAGCACTTAGTCTCTGCACAGAAGAGTACAGTGATACCAACAGCTTGTCACTCTGTGCTTCCTAGACAGGAACAGCTTCAGACTGTGAACAGTCAGTCCAGAGGGAGGCAAGCAGAGCCCTCGGTGGCTGGTAACCTGATGCAGAACATTGCCTACCAGTTCAGACCTTCCCTGCAGCAGCCAGCCTATCTCTCACCTTCCCAAGTGAATCCTTTGGCAGACACTTTATGGAATTATGTTCTAATCACTTGATTGAATTACTCCATGCAAAGCAGATTTCATAAAGGAGGAGAAAGCCATCATGAAAGGTTATTGCTAGGTGCTGCAAATGCTCATCAACATACATACTGCTCTGACGGGACTTCCTCAAACAACTTCGGAGAAAAATTTCTAGGTAATTTCCCACTTCCATATATATATATGTGTTATATGACATACAGCATTCCAACCTGCAAGCTGACAAGAAAGGAGACCAATTCTTGCCCCTTCAGGAGCTCTTTACCACAACCTCCTGCACCTGGGCTGCGAGGAACTCTGAGCTTACTCAAAAAACTTAAGTTACTAAGCTTAGAAGCTTAGCAACATGTGCTTTTGTGCTTTACCATTTGAGCAGGCAACCCTGTGAGTTTTACTCCAATGGCTCAAGGTGATGGAAAACCTGTCAACACTAAACCAGAGACTAGGAGTTTTGATAGGAACAGTGCTAAGCACTTCCTCAGAGCGCTGTGCAGCCACTGCTTTGAAGAGTATGAACCATCCAGTTTCCTCTTTATTACAAACCTTGTTTCTCTGCCTTATCTCAAGAGCAGCTCAGGTATGAGGTGCTACACTAGTCCTTGGTAACTGCAGACTGCTGGCTGGTCCTCATCCAGAGGTCTGGGGGGCGTGGGAGGGAGAACTGGCTACAAAAGTAGCTCATTGCACAATACAAATTTAGAGGGACCAGTCCAAACTGTTTTGTGTCCAGCTACATTTAACTGCTATCAGTAAGTTGAGTGCAGTTTCACTGTTTCACCTCTGCCTCTATGAACACTTGAGAAATATGGCTATTGAAGAAAATGCAGTTCACATGGTGCTCCTATGCAGAGTAAGCTTGCCACAGCAGACACACAGAAATTACCAAACCCAATGTCCAGGCAGACTGGACACCCACAGAAGCAGGATACCCACCCTTGCTCCTTACTAGCAAGAGATTTTCCTGCTGATACTGCCGGGGGTGGCAGGGTGACAGGGGGATGGATAACAGTACATGTGGCTGTTCTGGCCAAACTCAATTTGCCTGTCTGCCCTAAAAAAATCCTAACAACGTGTCAAAGATCCCAATTTCTATACCCAGTTCTCCGTCTTCCTTGTGTAAGACCTTAAAATGTTGAAATCAAGACTCTAGTCAAACAAGCAAGGAGTGGGGCGCCACAAATTAATCCTTCTGAGGTAGATCTTAGTGCCTTCAGATCTCACTTGGTGCTAGGCCTCCTCTTCCTCTCAGCTTCCCCTGGCTGCAGCCTTTCCATGGCACTCAGAGAGAGGGGCTGAAGTAAACAGTACTGGTCCACCATCTTCCTGCAGGAGACCGCATTCCTGCCAACTGGAAGTGCTTGTCAGGAAAGGGATGCTGTACACTATTTTGCATTGCTACAGCTTCTTACTGTAAATGGAACCAGCCCTAGATCCCATGGAGTTTGTTGTGCTCTATTCCACATTTGTCTGGAAACCACTATCACAACTGTGGACAGGAACAAATCATGAGGAGCAGCCATTCTTACTGGGGTCTCAGAGCCCCACAGTTCTATAATCTACTGTTAGTTATGTGCAGTTTTCCACATGATTAAGTGAAACATTTTTAAACAGCATTAACTAGATAATTTACTAGATATTTACCCTCACTTTAAAATAGAGAAAAGCAATTTGTAGAACCAGCCTTTTTAATAAGCTGCAGTCTGAACTCCATGTCAAGGTATGCCTGTTAAGGAATGGGGCTTCACACAGCTTTCTCAAAGCTGATCAAATCAGAACAAGAAAATAAAGGGGAATCTTTTGAGAAACTACTGGGAGTCAAAGAGGAGAAACAAGAGAATGTTTATGGACCATAGCAATCAGGTAGCTGACTTTTTCTATTAATGCATCCTATCAGTAGCTCTCTTTCCTTAACTTTTTATCTACTGGAAGAAATGACGAAGAGAATGGAAGACTTGGAAAACAGGCTAAAATACTGATCAGAATTTGAAGTGTATGCTACACTGTATATTTATACAAACTTGTCAGAGCTATTTTCTTAAACTGGTTTAAAGTAAAATAACATCTTTGTGTCTGAAGTTGAAAAGAATTTTCTGGATACTTGCATTTATATGCCATGTGTGGTCTTGCATTGATTGCAGATAAGAAATGTTGATAATTTTATATAAACAATTTAGTAACTAGCAGAAGTTCTAATTAAGCAGAACAACTGAAATAAGCTATGCAAAATAATAAAATGCTGTTATTTTTTGAAATGAAACCTCCATGTTTTGAAGTATTTTTAGGGTATGAATTTGACTTGCTTTTCTGTATTTCCCTCCTCCACTCCTAGTATTTTAAGTACACAGTTTGTGTATATATATATAGTTCTATGTATAGACATACATAGAACAAGTGAGACAGCATTCACAGCCATTAGGCTTGACTTGGATTCTTTAAAGTTACTACTGGAATCAGTAGGAAGTAAAAATATAGTTACACATTTGTTTTTAAACTGTGATGGAATTAAATTATCCAAGTGGGAAGTCTGCTGGATTAACAGAGCATCACAACTTGTTTCAAAAGCTTTTCCTTATGTCCAGACTACCCAACTTCTCCCTGCCGTCCTTTGGTCAGTATTCACTGATTCTCTAGCTTTCCCGAATCCAAGTAGTATATTAATTCTGAAAACATTACTTGGTGAATTCAGCTAGCTGCACACCTGTTAAACACTAAAACACAAAACCAGCAAACTGCTTCTACTCTGGCCACCAGAAGTGTTTTCAAGTCTCACTCCCTTCCCTTGAGTGCAACTCATCCAGATCTGTAGTTTAATATGTAAATATACCAGCACTTCCTCCTTTGCTCAGAGTCTGCCTCCTGACTTTCTCCAAATGGAAACACCAAACTTCATTCACTTTACAACAGAAATAGCTGCAGCAAATCTTAAGTGATTAAGTGATCTCAGACAAGGTGGTGAGTGTGCATGGACATACAGCAGCAAGCTTTGAAAGATACCTTGTGCTTTGGCATACTTTCGAATTCTGCAAGGTTACAGGTACATTCTGATTTCACTGGGTGTTTGTTTTTACCATGTCAGAAAATCACGGGCACCTCAACTAACAGTCCCTAGTAATAAGGAACATCCTGCAGTCATGGTCTCAAACAAAACAGGCACAAATCTCTAAGATACTGACATTCTCAGCAATTGTGACTTGAGAACACCAGCTCATCTGTCTCCAATATCTTCACAAAACTAAAAAAAGGCTACAGATTTAAAAACAGCTTTGTGAAGTTAACTGGTATCTTACTGAAAGTGTATGTTACACATCGAGAAGCAATATCCTGTTTTTCCTTTCACAAGTATGTACTTTTGGAAGGAAAAGACAAAGGAACTAATGCACATTAGTACATGATTCACTTGGTAAAAACAGTGTGAAATATTTAACTAAAGTAAAATAGGATTCCCCAGCAACATCCCAAATTTGCTAGTCCCTTACATTATGCCTTGGTTTTGCATTAGCATCCCAAAAGCAAACACTATGGGAGCCCCAGCCCGTTGGGACTTGGCACCATACTTGCCATGATCAAGGCTTCCTTCACTTACCTCTTAAGATCCACAATACCTACAGAAAGAAAGGCAAATTTTGCCATGTGAAGGTTATTTCTAACAGAACAAGAAGGACAGCAGTGGTAATGAATCTTCATTTATATAGTTTGTTCCCCAAAACCAACAAAGGTATAATACAAATTTTTCTTTAAAAGAGATCTGTAACCAGTTTTATTGTAGAAATAACACCTTTACAGCATTTACTTCTCACTGGTTTGTTCTGGCATGCTTCTAATGATGTCAGAGTCACCTGTAAAACAAAAATGTATTGTTACAAGAGGACCCATGGGAAGATGATTTTAGGAATAAAAGTAAGAAAAAAAATCCCTACTCATAAAATCACCACAGTGATTCTAGAAAAAGAAAACAACCTAAAAGAACAGATAGTCTGGTTAGGAAAAAAGCAAATAAAATTGATGATAAGAATACTTGTGTTTTTCTAATCCAAGTACAGGACTTTCCAATAATTACAGACCTGTCACCAGCATTTACAAAGCCAGGACTAAAACAGCAATCTAGCCCTGGAGGACACAATGCATAGTTTTACTATAGCGAATGTCTAGCCTCCCCTGATCACAGAAATATCAGGACAGCGAGAATATTCGCATTGTCAGCTACAGAGCATTGGGACTGACCTGCAGCTCCCACCCCACCCAGAACCAAACCTGAAAGCAACAGTTTGAAAATTAAGTTTACAGCTACTATTTGACTAAAAGCAAGCTAAATAAAGTTTCTGGAAGCAGTAGGAAATTCAAATCATTGTGACTTGGGGAACAGCTGGTTAAAGTTATTCCAGAAATCATTACACCTATGTGTATGCATTCTGGTCAACAAACAGAACAAGGGATTGATTATTCTAAAACATTCTGGAAAGAAGATGGGAAGTCACCTACTTAGCATCCTATAGAAGGAATCTGAGCAACTCTCTGGGACAAAGATTGTTACCAAACCATAGTCATTACATATAAACATACAGTTTTAAAATGAAGTGTTTAACATAATTTTCATTCCCTCAATGAATATCCACCTGCCTATTGGTTATTTTACTATATACTATTCTGGGAAACAGGACAAGTCACAACCCTCTGTCTCAGATTATGAACAGTCAAACAGGGCTGTTGTAAGTAGTATGTAGTCATGCTCATGTCCTAGCTGATGGGTTCAGAAATAGATCCCATACAGCTGCTTCCCAGACACTGAAACCTCCCTACAGACTGACAAGCGGACAAAATGTTCACAGGGCTCAGCAGTAAAAGAGCTATGTGCAAGAGAAACAGTAGTCTTCTCAGTAGTTCTGAGAACTTCAGACTCACAAAAGAACAGGATCTTGATCAGAGAAAATTTTAATGGTTAAACCTGATGGAAAAATGCAGTGGAGTGTGTCACCACTCCTTCTCATTCCTTGCTCAGTGCTGCTACTCACAGGAGAAGGGAGGATCCACAGACACCTCCTCATTTGGCCCCTACACTGCAGGAGAGAATTACCTGGGTCAATGATGGCCAGTGTGCACACTCTGTAGTATTTTCCACATGCTGTGCCCAGCTCAATGTTGTTCCCGCTATAATGATGGACACCAGTCTTAGCAAGCATAGCGTAGTACTCAATCTCTGATTTTCTGAAATCCAAAAACTGGGTGTTAACAGGACCACAAACAATTCTGACCAACTGCAATACAGAGAGAGCAGCTTTAACTCCTACCACACTTGAACCTTAAGACCCTTAACTTTTCCTTCCCACCCAGAGAAACACAGCTGTTTCTTGTGAGGCAGCATCACTCCATGCTTGTGGCTCAGGAACCTTTACTGAGATGTCAGCTGACGGTTTGTAACAAAAAAACCCTTCAGGCTGCTCCTACTCAGGCTCATTTCTACATGGTAGAAGGATTCAGCACCTGCAGACCTCTGAAAGGCCTGTATGTGTCAAAGTGCATGAACTAAGAGCGTTAATGTCGATGGCCAGTGGTGGCCAGGTGCTGAACAGAGCGACACAGCTGTTGCAGCTGAGAAAGGAAACATGTATTTTAATTTAAAACAAAAAGTCCATCTATGCTGCCCTCTCTTCTGATTTCCACTTGGAGAGTCAAGCAGTCAATACTGTTTCCCAAGCATTTTCAGATCACCACCAATATTGGGGATTGCTGCCCACTACAACAGTCTTGCTATTTCTCAAGTATCTAATTTCTGGGTTTTGCACTGACATTGTCTTGAGCCTCTTAATATCCCTCAACAACAAAAAGAGCTCAGGTATTCAATGAGGAAAGTGTCAAGCTATTAGTACAAATTACATTCTCAAAAAAGGAGGTTCACTGGCCAGGACCCCAAATTTATAACTAACTTTGACAAAGTGCTTCATATATTTTAAATTTGCTATCAGTTTTTCTAGCTATAAAATTATTTTCCAATACACTACTTTGGAAAAACATAGGAATTCAGCCCCATTACACTCTTAGTGAACGCTATCAAGTGTGAAAAGCTTCCAGTACTTTCTCTAGTGCAAACTCCTTGAATTAGAAAGCCAGAAAAACACCAGGAAGCATTTCAACACTTCTAGACTTGAAATCATTACACAGCAAACTACCAAACAAATTTCAGAGCACTCTAGAACATGCCAGCAAAGCCCTCTGTATTAAGTCTCTGGAGCAATTAGCACGAAGCACACACTGCATTTGTACCAAGAACTCATCTCAGAACTGTCTTCTCCCACATCTGCTTACCTCAAAGCAGGACAGTTGTTGGCGAGGATGACCAACTTGGCTTTGCCCTGACGAATCATTTTCAGGGTTTGTTTGTACCCAAGCACATATTTACCACTTTTCATAACCAGCTGAAGCCTGGAGTTGATGGACTCCAGGGACTTTTTCTGAAAAAGATGTAGAAAAGTGTTATTGTGTTACTTCACACTTTTCAAAATAATGCAGAACACAATAGAGAAATTTCAAATATATGCATTTTTCATAATCTCCCTATAATCTGAAACATGGACTAGGAAAGGCCAGTCAGTTACCAGAGTATAAGAAAGCTTACAGACAGGGGCATTGCTGATAGTATGTTTTCACAAGTTCAAGAAGTTCTTTCTTACCCCCACATCTCTCAATAGGAAAATACATCTCAAAGCACTGTTGCTGTTATCTACATAAATCAGTGACATCTGCGTGTATCTGACAAGCTCTTGTCAAGCTCAGCTAGTCAAGGCCTTGCAAAGTCTTGCTTAGCCTGGCTAAGCCAGGTTTAGCGTCTGTCTCTCCCCAAGGCAAACACTGACAACGTTACATGGAGCAGCAGAAGAAAGTACTTCTGTGCGATACCGAACTGATACTACAGCAGGGGAGCTGTAATATCATGAGCGATGCTCATGACAACAGGTTAGGCGCATTTGACGGACGAAATCACCACCTTTGGCCAATAAACTCAGATCTGTCAGAGCCACTCTGAGAGAAAGGCCAGAACATGGCAGGAAAGGCGAAACTGAACTCCACCCGCACCAGGACCTCGGCACCACCTCTCCCCTCCCGCAGCCACCTCAGGAGCTCTGCAAGCCCCCGGGACATCGCGCGGGAGGGACCCGAGGACTCCGAGCGCGGCGGGAGGCGGCCCAGGGGCGCGGCCGGTGTCAGGAGGGCACGGTCCGAGCTCTGAGGGCCGCGGCGGGCTGTGCCCAGGCCCCCAGCACCCCCGGCCGCCGCCCAGGCCATGCCGGGGGCCCCCGCGCACCAGGGCGCTGCCCGGACGCTCCGCCACCACGTGCGCCCGGCGCGGCCCCGCTCCCACTCACCGTCTTCTTCGCGGCCACCATGTTGCTGCCTCGCGCGGGGTCCGGCGGTACCTGGAACACAGGGGGATGGAGGGGAGCGGTCAGAACCCGGCAGCAGCGCCCGCAGCGGCCCCCGCGCCCCCGGCCCGGCCCCGCTCACCACAGACGCGCCGCCAAGATGGCCGGGCCGCCAGAAAGGAGCGAGCGCCCGGCGAGCACCGCGCGAAACCCGCGGCAGCTCTCGCGAGAGCCGCGCACACCCCACCCCGCCCCACGACTGCCAGTGCTCCCGAACCACGGCGGCCGCCCCGGGCGGGGCGGGGCCTTGTCCGGAGGAGGCGGGGCAACACCGCATGGGGGCGGGCCACACCAGGTGGGGGCGGGTCATGAGGTGATGTGGGCGGGTCATGAGGTGATGTGGGCGGGCCCGGCCCGGCTGAGGGGCCGGCCCGGCTGAGGGTGTTCCCGTCGGGGCGCTGGCCGCCGCCCTTTCCCGTCCCGCCGCCGCTCTCGTTCTGTAGAGCGGCTTTAACTCTGTTTCACAGCACAGCCTCGCGGAAGGCTTCAGGAGCTGATGCGGGAAGAGCCGCAGCGGCCTGAGCCTCCCATCATGGAATCACGGAATGACCTGGATTGCTAGGGACCTTGGAGCTGCCCTAGTTCCAGCCCCGCTGCCATGCCATCTTCTGCTAAGCCAGGTTGCTCAGCGCCCCTTCCCACCTGGCTTTGAATACCTCAGAGGGTTGTGGGGCATCCATAGCACCTGTACCAGTGTCTTCACCACCCTCACAGTGAAGGGATTCTTCCCAATATCTAATGTAAACCTACTCTCTTTCTGTTTGAAGCCATTCCTCTTTCTCCTGTCACTAGCATTACATGCTCTTGTAAAAAACAGTCCCTCTCCATCTTTCCTCTGGGTTCCCTTCAGGTACTGGAAGGCCACAATCAGGTCATCCCAAAGCCTTCTCTTTTCCAGACTGAACAATCCCAATTCTCAGCCTTTCCTCGTAGCTCCCTCCCTCTAATTGTCTTGTTGGCTCCCTCTGGGCTCGGTCCAGCAGGTCGATGTCCTTCCTGTGCTGGGGACTCCAGAGCTGAGCACGGTACTCCAGGTGGGGTGTCACCAGAACAGTGTCCCTGGGGATTGTCACTTCTGGCACAGGGCTGGTGGGGAAAATGATGGGATGGAGAAGATAAATCCCTTGGGCACTGCAGGGCACCAGCACAAGGGACACATGGTGGCCTGTCCCTGTCCCTGCTGTCCGCGCTGTGCACGCTGCCTCGCTAAAGCAGCAGCGCCTGCCCTCTGCCCTGCACAACAGCCCTGGCAGGCCCCAGTTCTGCATGAATGGCCTGTCCCGATGGGATACAGCCCTGGGATGGCCCCAAGTCTGAGCCCACAGACAGGTTTCTTGCCTGAAACCAGCCACTGAGCTTGGGAATAGACTTGGGCCCGACACTGCCTACATTAGAGGTTCAGCTTTGGGCGCCCTCAGCGCAGCTCCCAGGTTTGCTGGGGCGATGGCTCTGCACTCCCACCAGCTGTGCAGTGTCCTTAGCCCGTCCCCAAGCAGCCCCTGGCTGTGCTGGAGTGACAGTGCAGGGAAACTTCCTCCTGCCCCGCATGCACTCTGGAAACCACCAGCTTGAAAACTGTCTCACTGAGCACACATGCACGGTGTGGTTTGGGACCAGGGCCACGACATGAGGCTGCCATTTTCAGGCCAGGACATTTGTTCTCAATCCCACAGTGCTGTCCACAGTGCTGGAAGAAGCAGGCCAGGCTGGCGCAGGAGGGAGCAGAGAGCATCAGCAGCCCAGCTGGTGCCTGCAGGGATGAGCAGTGTGGGTGCTCTC